CTAGAACCCAAGCTTCAGCTTTTAACGGTTCAAGGCCTCCCTGAAAGGATGGCGGTTTCATCTTGCTGAATTTATGGGTGAGAGCAATAATAATATGGCAAACTCTTTAATTGGCTTATTTTAATCTAATTTAATCATACCTAGTCAATTTTCAGATAATTATACTATAAAATCACATAAATTATGAGGGTCACGGAACATCAATCAGTTTCTAATTCGGCCGCCGATAAGGCCTTCAATTAGCAGTCTAAACATATAAACATGAACAGTTAATCATACAGTCAAACAGATATAATGCAATTTAACTAACATATACTCAATCAATTCGGTTTCCAGTTTCGGTCAGTCAGTTCAGTACTTTTAATCAGTTCAATTATCAGTCAGTTATCAGTCATTATCAGTCTCGTTTAACAGTAATCGGTGATTATCGGTAATCGGTCAGTCATTAATCAGTAAACAGTATGAGGGTTGTTACACAAAAGCAGATGCACAGTGGTCGGCCAGCCAAAAATGACAATTTGATCAAAATAATGGTCGGCAGACCAGAAATCGTGCCGACTGGCTAAACATTTGGCCGATGGCAACAAAACAATGGCCGGTGGCATCAAGACATGGCCGGTGAGGTGTGGGGATGGCCAGCAAGCCATTCTCTGCCCCTCAAAAGCAAAACACAAGTGTTTGGTGCAAAACCAAACACAAAATAGGCAAGTCGAGAGGTCTTGAGACAAGGCGCGTGGCTGAGACCTCCGAGAACTCAGGACGAACACGAACGTGGATGATCACCGAGTGTTCAAACGGTGACGTCCAAGTCTTGAGGACGGTCAAAAATGGGGTGTCTATAACACCTGGCTGGATTGTTGACCGAGCATTCTTGGGATACACATAGTCCATCCCCATCCCTTTTTTGTTGTCTTTTTGTTTTGTTTACCACAAGGATAGGACACTAACATATTCTGACTGATGTAATATGAATTGTAAAAAAATGTAAAGTTGGCATTTTATATAAATATAGATTGCACTACACATGCCTATATATATGTTGTGTTGTGAATGTAATGCCTCGTTTATTACTTTGTAGAATGGCTAATAATGATAATGGAAGTGAGTCATCAGCCAGTGGCACTGAATCGATGGAAAGAATAATAGAAAGAGTGGTTACTAGCTTTTTGCAAGCCTTGCAAACTAACATCAATAATGGGATGCCGGAACGGCGAGAAGAGTCGGTTACCATAAAACAATTCCAAGATTTGAAACCCACCACATTTATCGGCGGCCCAGACCCAATGGTAGCAAGCACTTGGGTGAAAGACATGGAAAAGATTTTTCGCGCCCTACCCTGCACCGAAAGACAAAAGGTAACTTTCGCCACTTTCACTTTCAAAGACAATGCACAGGAATGGTGGCTTCTCACTCTGGCCAAAGAAGAAATTACGACTTGGGCAAGATTCTTGGAAGTATCCTATGAAAAATACTTCCCAGATTCATTGCGGGAACAGAAGGCATCTGAATTCATACATCTAAAGCACGGAACCACGATGGTGGCCGAATATGAGAGCAAGTTCATACAACTCGCTCGATTTGCAACATACGTCATTCCCACCGAAACTCGAAAAGCAAGAAAGTTCGAAGCAGGATTGGATGCTGAAATTAAAGACAGGCTCGAGGCCTTGAAACTGCCAACCTATGCAAAAGTAGTAGACCGGACGTACATTGTAGAAAAGGAGATTAAAGCCTCGTGTTCTAGGGAACCAAGCCAAAAGAAGCGATTTTGGAAAAAAGACAACAGAAGACCCGGTGTTGCGCCTCCTAAAAAGGTGAATATGGGCTCCAAAAAGAGGCTGGCATCCTAGAATGCTTTGATCAAGGTGAATATGCACAGTAGACTGGCGCCTCGAGGCCATCCTAGAAATCAAAAAAGGTGAACTTGGAAACCTGGCACCTCGAGGCCATCCTAGAATGATTGTAAGAAGATTTCACAAAAGGATGCCAGCATTCTACCTCAATCTTGTATTTACTGCAGATAACTCTCCTCCATAGTGCATTAATTTGATTTCCAAATTTTCACCACCATTTGAGAAGCAAGCATGCATTAACATCCCTAATCCTCCTAATGCCTAGACCCCCTTGGCCAACACTCTTTGTTACCTCTAACCATTTCACCAAATGAACTTTTCTTTTTAGGTCATTACCATTCCACAAGAAAGCAGCCTTAATTTTCTTAAATTCACGAGCCACACCTTCAGGCATCTTAAAGAGAGAAAGATAGTACACAGGTAGACTTGATAGGACAGACTTGATCAAAGTTAATCTTCCTGCTAAGGACAACATTTTCCCCATCCACCTAATAATCTTGATCTAATGTTATCAAGCACAGGTTTCCAAGTTGATTTTCTACATGGGTTGGCATCTAAAGGTAGCTTCAAAAATTTTAACGGCAAGCTAAGCACCTTGCAAGTCAAGAGGTTTGCAAAAGTATGCAGTGACTCATCATCCACACCAACGCTGCATACAACACTTTTGTGGTAATTGATTCTGAGCTCGGATAAAACTTCAAGGCATCTAAGAATCCTTTTGATAATTACCACCTGAGCCATATCTGATTCACATAAGAGAATAGTGTCGTCAGCAAATTGAAGATGAGATATAAGTACCTCATTAGCCCTAACCAAAACTCCTTTGAGAATGCCAAGATTAAGTGCTCTAGTAAGGAGTATATTGAGCCCTTCAGCCACTATATTGAATAGGAATGGTGATAATGGGTCACCTTGTCTAAGGCCTCTTTTCGAAGAGAACTCATTAGTTGGTGATCCATTCACGAGGATGGAGATTCAGGCTAAAGACACACAAGCTTTCATCCAAGAGACCTATTTAGACCCAAAACCAAAGCTAGACATCATAGAGAACATGAATTCCCAATTTACTGAATCAAAGGCTTTCTCAAAGTTCAACTTGATAGTCAACCCTTGCAGCTTGGCCTTTTTCCATCCATCAACTACTTCATTAGCAATAAATACCCCATCTAGGATATTCTTTCCTCCTATGAATGCTGTATGAGTTTCACCAATAATTGAGGGCATCACTAACTTCAATCTGAACTGTTTGATCTTCACAGTTTAAGTTTAGTTTTAGTCTGTTCCTTTCATTTGAATTTTTGATAATTTTATCTACGTGTATACCTTGAAAAATTAACAAGAGTCCCAAAATTATCAATTTTAACATCTAATTTAGACAGAAAGGCCAAATTAAAACCTTTAAAAATTGATAAATATCTCAAAATTATTTATTTTAATCTCCAATTTAAATGAAATGGTCCAAGTAAAATTATTTACAAGCCTGAGAGAGTAATCTTCGTTTATAATTAAGAAAATTGGCGTTTATAAATTCTATATGCGGAAAGGATTTCAAAATGTGAGATATAAAATCTTAAGTTATTTTGTTTTTAAATTTATTCATTTGTCTACTTAAGTAAAATTTATTTTAAAAAAGTTATTATATATATATATATATATATTTTTAACTTTTCAGGTATATGTTGTATACTTTTGTCATTTGCATGACATGAAGTGTTGCATTGACCTATGAAAAATATTGTCATTTGCAAGGGTATACGAAAGTTTATAAGGGTGCAAATATGTAAAATGACACACAACTGAGATGACGATATAAAAAGTAATTTTCGTAATGTCAAGCATGAAATGCTCAAGGAGATGATCCTAGATGTCCCGATGACATGAAACACTTTCTTTTCGTGTTGCAAAATCAATGATAAACTATTATAAAGTGATAAGGATATAAATCTCCACCTAATATGAATAGTCTTCCTGCACCACCAATCCCCTGTTTGTACACTATATAGGCCTCGTTTGGGAAGTGACTATTTTAGTAGGCTATTTAGTTTTTTGGCTATTTTAGTTTTTGTGTTTGGGAAGATGAGATAGATTTTATTTGAGTTGTTGTATTGAAAAATGTGTTGAAATGATGTTTGAATTTAAAATGACAAATTTGTCCCTAAAATTATAATTTTTAAAATTGATATAAAGGGGCAAAATGGTAATTTAGCCATTGATGTAACATTTTGGGGCTGTGACAGTGTAGGCACAGCCTACACTGTCCGGGCTGTAGCCTATTTTATTTTATTTTATTTTATTTTTTTTGAAAACCTGTGAACAGTGTTGCTTTTGGGCTTTTTTTCTCAAATGAGGCTATAATAGCCTCATTTCCGGCTTCCCAAACAGAGTCATATTATTGTTTGAGTTAAGTTTGAGTTCAATTATTTTGCGTTTGCACTTACTTAATGTTGTTCTCTATGGATCACGTATCATGGTGTATTGTGGACACTCAAAATAAAAGTTATACGGAATATTAATAATTTTATTTGCCCCACCACCAGAAAAGTTCTTTAGAGATAAAAATCAGCCATCTTCAAGAACTACATGGTTGGAAAGAAGTCGATAAGATTCAAAAGCATAGTCCATTGTACAAAGTGTACGAGAGCTTTCATAAAGGTAACTAATTCATAAAGGTTTGGGTTCAAATGAGCTTTCTTCGTTTTATATAGTTTTTCATTTTTTTAATGAATGGTTAGTATTAACTTGATTCAACGATTCTCATTAGTATTTTAAAATACACTTTCCGTTATTTCACTATATTATAGAATTTTCTAAATTATTCAACTACATATAGGTTCTAGATTTCTCTAGAGTTTTACCAAGTTTCAAATAGCTCTAGGAAGTTCTAAAATCTTTCAAATTTCTCTAAAACTTTTTAGAGTCTTCTAAATTTTCCCAACATTGTAGAATGATATAAAAAGACTCTAGAGAGTCTAAACCTCAACATTAAAATGGGACAATTGGTGGACCCAGACCCAATAACATGGTCCAAAAAAATAAAAAATATTTATATATGACTTCCTTAGTTGTTTCCTAACAAATATATTGTTAGTATATTTATTAGGGAACCGTTGAGTATACACTCATATTATTTCTTGTACATGTAATGTACGTTTTTTTTTATAAATATTACGTAATTTTTTTTATAAAATTATGACAATGTATAGTTTAAAAATGAAATTATATATTTAAAGTAATGTTAACTATTTTTGTAATAACATTACACATTTTTTTATCAAGACATTTTTTAATCACAAATTGTGTAACATTTTCTAATCCAAAAATTGTTATAACTCTACTAAAAAATTACATAACATCAGGGCCTGCATTGAGGCAAGACCACCAAGGCAACCACCTTGAGCCCCTGAACTTTGTGTAAAAAGTAGGGCCCCAAATGATTTAGTTCATATGTTAGGTTTGATTCATTAAAATAAAATAATTATCTATCATAATGTTTATTTTCACGTTTGATTCACTGAAAAAAAGATGAAAAAAATATTACAAATAGAATCATCATTGTAATATAGAGAATCATCATTGTAATATAGAAAGGATGAAAAATGATCATTTCATTCTATTCAATTTCATTTTAGTGAACCAAACATTACATTATTATATTAGTAGTTTAAAAATAAAATTTGACTGACTTTTTATTATAAAATAATTAAAGTGGTGAATTATTTAATAATAATAAATGATTATTTGGTAGATGCATAGATTATTTATAAAATATTGTCGACTATACCAAATACATTTGCCTTGAGAAATAATTTTTTACGCTAAAATTGATCAAATTTTATATTCAATCAGTTTCTTCATAAAAAATTTAAATAAATTAATAACATTACTCATTGAAAATGTTCAAAATCTATTTCAAATTATAATTATTGTAAAAAACAAGTTACAATCGAATTATTCACTAATATAATATTTTCAAATTAAATTTATCACCTAATATTTTAGATAATTTTCGTGCATAGTATAGGTAAAAAATTAATAATTTTAATATTTATATATACAAGCAAATTTTGTATTGGGATAAACAAAAAAACTAAATAAATATATATTTTTTTAATTATGTATAAAAGCTCCATTTTTAAACTTTGCCTTGGCCCCCATAAAGAGAGGACCAACCTTACATAACATTTGTTAAAAAATACATGACATGTATAAGATAAATGTGTAACAAAGTGAGTCCCTATTAATATTGCGAAGCTGCACGACGGCACGACGGCCTATGCCCATGATTCAACCCACTTGAATCCTTCCCAAATGGACTTAAGTTGAGATCAAGTGCCGATAAACCAAACGGTGGAATTTTAAGGTTCAAAGTTGTTCCCAAAAAAGCAAAGTTCTCAAATTTTACCTAAGCATTACTGAGGCAAAGTAGGTTTTTCTGTATTCTGATAGACAAATAAAAAAACCCTACCATCCCCAACTGTACACTTGCATACTTGATTCAGAAAATGCAATTGTATGATCAGCTTCACAAGTAACAGATACTGTTTCATGACAATGCATTTAGGCCTTGTTTGGGAAGTGACTACTTTTTTGGACTTTTTGACTATTTGGTTATTATGATAGACTATTTTATTTTTTATGTTTAGAAAGTTAGGTTGAATTTTTTGGTTGATTATTATATTGAAAAATGTGTTTGAAATGATGTTTGAAGCTGAAATGACAAATCTATCCCTAATCTCACTTTTTTCAAAATTGGTTTAAAGGGGCAAAATTGTCATTTACCAACAATGGGACAGCCTGTGCCTACACTATGCCTACACTTTCAACGTGACAGTGTAGGCTGCCTGCCGAGCTGCTGCTCTTTTTTCTTTTCTTTTTTTCCTTTTAAATATAAATCATTAGTTTAGGGTACTATTTGAGGCTATTTGGCTTTTTTTAGTGTTTTGAGGCTATTTTAGGATAAACAAAGTAAATGAACCAAGCTGAAAAGCTTTAAGATAAACAAAGTAAATAAACAATAACATATTTTGAGGTGTAGATAATCCATTTTGAATTGTGATTTTTGTGGGAAGTGAATTTAGGTAATTTTGGGTTGATTTGGGATGTGTATTGTGATCTGGTGACCTTGTAATGTTTACTACAAATTAGGTTGTAAGCCTTTGAGGGAAATCAATTATTGATTGAGTGATAAAACTCAGATAAATTTTTTTGTATAATATTCTGATTTTTTGTGTGTTTTTTGTTCATTCCATATGCTTCCCTATAGCATTGATAAGGAATAATAAAGATTAGACAGTGTTTTATAGCAAATGATAAGAAATAATAGTAAAGATGAGGAAGTGTTTTTCGGAAAATGAAAACAGAAAACAAAGAACGATACTAACTTGGTTTGAACTTTTCCTTGATTTGTTTTCCAAAAAAAAAAAACGAAGAAAATGAAAAATAAAAGCACTAAACTTTTGATTGTTTGTGTATCTGGTGTTCCAAGCTTTGAATATGTACTAAAATTTGCGATATTAGTTGGTTCTGCATTTATGTTCCTCCATTTTCTTTTGAATCCAAGGTTGCAAAATCTGTGACAATTGTAACAAGATGGGATTTGAAAGCTGCTAATGAATCATAAATAAATAAGAACGAATCCATGTGTAGAATTCATACAGATCAAATTACCTGATATAAATCTTTCAATGATTTTACCGAGTGGTATTCTTTATCCATTGAACGCTTTGCGTTGTCAGGCCATTTTGTGAATCGATTGACAAATTCATCCATGGTAATCATCTTGTCAGCGACAAATAGTGTAAGATAGCCTGAAATAGCTTAAAAGTCAATATGTTTTTTTGCAAAAAATTATGAACTGGACACATTAAAACATCGCAAAATCAAGTATCTATAGGATTGGACCTACACATGATAATTATTGTGCACAAAATCAGCCAGTAAAACATAGGAAACTCATTCTAATCACATTAACAAAAATTAAAAGGAAAAAATAATAAAAAGAAGAGTTGATAACACCAAATAACATAAAACATCACTATACACATACGGAAAAAGAACAAAACATCTATATATAAACAGTATTAACAATGTTACAAAGTTAGGACGATGCACTACTCTGATTTGCATTAAAAGCAACTTGATCGTGATATTTATCCAAAAGATGTTGATATTCCATCTTTAACTCTTCTTTGACAATGTTGTCAAAATGAATAAGCAATTTCAAA